AAAGGTTCGATAAGCAACGTAAAACTACTTTTTTTTTTTAAACAACTAAATATAAAAAGACGAAGGTCTTAAATTATCTCTTGCTATCAGCGACACAAGCCACCCACCTAGCCTTTGACCGAAAACTGCACTTCCCCTTGACATCTCACAATGCAACAGGAGGGATAAAGTAAAGTAAGTAAATGGTTAAAACGTACAAACTAAGTCTCACACCAAAGACTTGAAAATTCATGGATCGTTTTTGTGAAATTAAAAACTATATGGAAGTCAAAGATCATTTCGTTGAAGGCAAAATTAAAAATAATAAATATACTATAGCAATATTTTGGTTGTATTGACGTATTGTTCAGAGATATGGAAAACGAAACAAAACTATTCAACGAAAATTGAAAAGAGTCCAAACAAAAAGTTTACAGAGAATTTTTTCAAATAAAATGGAATTCATTTATTACAAATAATGAAGTGTTAGAAAGAGTTGGAATCGAAGTTATCAACACAACCATTAAAAGGAGAAGATGGAGATATCACGGACATGTTCTAAGAATGCCTAAGACAAGATTGCCCTATCAGACATGGTATTGGAAACCAACTGGAAATAGAAATCGAGGAAGATTAACTGGAAGCTATAGAGGCACAATAAGGAATGAGGCAATCACCCAGGGTCTGGATTTGGGGAATCTGGAGGACATGGCCAGGGACAGACAAGTGTGGCGTCGACTGCTCTCCGACTTATTATGTACCTGACGGTACAGGGAGAGAGTAAGTAAGTAAGTAAGTAAGTTTGACACTCAAGAAACTTAGCATTTCATGTATATGGGCTCACCTCGGCTCTCTCACAGTGACTGAGCATGATTGGAGCCACCTTTTTCTGTGTCGTTTCTGCGACCCACAGTGTAGCGTCGTTGAACCCTCGCGCACTGGGCTGCCGTCACACAGAACACAAGCAATGGAAATGGTCATCGGAGGTTTATAATAATAATTATGTACTTTATCATTTTCAGGGGATAAAAGGACGGAAGGCAGAACCATTATTTATCATTTGTCCCTCATGTGTTACGAACTGAAATAACACAATGTTGTGGGAATGGTTGGGGGTGATGCATTCATAGCAATATTTAACAGTTACATAAGCATAAATGTACCTATAGAATAAATCTGTTTTCTATTTTAAGAATACATAAACCATGTTATCATGACTTTCAAATTTTCGACTTCTGTTATTTCATCCACTTATTTAAAACATGACTTATCTGGATTTTCCACTTGAGTCTTGAGATAAATTGAGAAAAGTTTTTGTTTCTTTAGAATATAAAAAAGAAATAAATGAGTGAATGAAATGACTTGAATACTAAATTGTTCACGCGAGGCACATACAGTAAGCCCCATAGCTCCCCGCTTGGCAAACTTGAAGGCCCTGTGGTAGTAGCCTGTGTTAAGCTCCACCCACTCGCCATCTGGCCCCGCCTCCAGGGAGTACATTGTCTCCCCGAACGTCGCCTGGTGAAGGGACTTTGGGATGTTGTCCAGCCCAGGGATTCTGTACATGAGCCGGTCAATCTTTGAGTAGCTCTTGAACCTATTGGAGGGGGAGGGATAAGTTAAGAGGAGGTAAGATACGATACGATAAATTAAGATGACATTTTACTACCACCGTAAAGAGACATTTGCTGAGGCAAGGTATATACCTACCTGTCATGCTCACGACTCCCCACCCCCCACCCCACCCCACAAACACACATCACATACAAACACACATTGGATGGACATTTAAAAATTATGTTTCCCACTCCCCGTTTTGTCAGTTTTTCTGTGTCAAAATGATATTATCGATACTTCCGGATATCATAATGACAATTATTATAGATATTATAGATTCTGTGATAGAGCGCTTTTATAAAGTAGCCCAAAAGTGGTGAATCCTGAGATAAATTACACTGTTAAACATTATTATAACATGGTACTAACCCAGGTTTCTTCTCATCAAAGAGCTTGAACCGTGCGGCCGGGTTATATAGCATGTCCTCCAGGTATTTCACAGACCTCGGCACACGGTAGGACAAATCATCCAACTGTCCATGGAGAAGTGACAGCAAGCAGTGAGAGTAATGAAGAAGGAGAAGATGAACAACTGACTCGCTTTATAACTTACTAAGAGTTTTAACATTGTTCAAGACAATTACCTACAGAGCTACAAACGATCATTCCCAATTTTCATCTTGCTTAAAAAAATCAGTATGCAAATGTCCTAGACCTCGCCTTGTGAAAGACAATCACTTTCCTGCTCAGCGATAGATAGCCGTCTTAGACAATGTTGACTGCATTCCCAAACTGGGCAATAAGTAGCACGTTCTATTTCTACCAAGGTAATAACACCACCCACCAAATTTACCAAACCGCCCACTAGTTGGTAGTATAACCGCTCATGCAGGCAAAACACTAACTTGGGGGAGGGGGGGGGGGCTCTCGTGGCCTAGAGGTTAAGGTGTTTGACTCTCATTCAAAAAGTCCCGGGTTCGGATCCGGGTAGCGACCGAAAAATTTTCTTCTCTAAATTTGTCTCCTTTCACCTCATTTCGTGCTCTCTAGCAATGTTCTGTTGTCTGCTTTCTTTCGTCTCCTCTTTCTACCCCCACCCCCTCACCTCCTTTGTCCCTTCCTCTAGGGTCCTGATTCTTTCTGCAGCCTTTCTACTGCTACTCCTTCGCTTCTTCTTACTGCTGTCTTTCAGCCACACCCCTGATCTTCTGGTAGGAAAGATCTACACCTAGCCTTCTCGGACAAGGGCGAAAAATCTCGGAGGGCCCGTTTGCAAGTTGCGCACGTTAAAGATCTCTTGGTGGTCTAAAATCGATAAGAGTAGACTTCGGCCGCCACCAGGGCAAAATTCAAAATTTCCTACCTACTGAAAATATTAGGTGTGTCCTGCACGCTCATATGACCTTATGCAGTTGCGAGCGCCGTAAAACACTTTACAAAAACAAAACAAACTAACTTTGGGTTTAACAGAAAAAGCCACACCAGCGTGTGAGGTGTAGTGTTTTCTGCGGTGTAGTGTTTTTAAGCGCTTTGCCTTCGCACGAAGGAGACCCGAGTTCTATTCCGGAGCAGGAAGAAAAATGTTTTTTGAGTATTTAGGTCTTTCTGTTGGGAAGTATCCCCTTCAACCCGGGTTGACCGTAAAGGCGGGGTCGGAAGCTTGTCTGCTAAATCATCTAAACTGTGTCGATGGAGGTGTAAAAAACAATTTTAAAAATACAGCAACAAAAAAGAAGATACAAAGTGGTTAGGCTACAGGACTTGTAATCGTCAGATTGCGGGTTCGGGGGTTCAAGCCACGGGCCCGACGCTGTGTCCTTGGGAAAGGCACTTTACACGAATCTTCCTCACTTCACCCAGGTGGGAATGGGTACCCGGCCATAGACGGCGAAAGATCTTGTCAGTTTGTTAGTGTTTTAGCGCCTTTAAATGGCCTCTTGCACTGTATGCTTCCCATTAATTGAGGTTGTTTCAGAATGCTCTCAGGTCAGCTGGGGTAATAGTATAGATTGTGAAGCGCATAGAGTTTTGCTTGCTGTTGAGCCCGGATTTGCGCTATACAAATGCTATCTATCTATTATTTTTACCAGTTTGAGCTCCCAAAGCTCCACGTTCTCAGACGCGGGGTGACACACTGTGCGGTATGTCCAGAAGGCGTAGGTGGGATCCCCTGGTGGCAATAATTGGACATGATATAATTTAAAAGATTGCAAACGTCAACAAATGAATGTTAATGGCTGCTTATTATCATAAAAGAAAGTCAGTGAATATAACTGATTGACAGTGGGTGTATATTTTTTTAAGTCATTGACTTTAAATGATTACAAATGGTTGTATATTATTATTCTTTTTTTAGAGCAAAAGTCAATTATTTTACCTGATTGCAAGTGCTGTATTTTTAAAAAGGAAAGTCAATGACTTTAACTGAATGTAAAAAGCAGAATTTTATTTATTTTGAAAAAAGCAATGACTATATAACCATACCACTGATTGCAAATGGTTGTATATTATCAAAATCGAATATGAATGACGGTAAATTTCTGTAAATTATTTAGTATGGTTTTTAAAAGGTTGTTATATTTTCAATCAAGCCTGAAGACTTCAACTAACCTCCGATTATTCAGAAATTATGCAATAAAATTGTTACCTTTCTTGTCTACGCTCATCAGATACACAAGTGTTTACATCTTCATTTCAATCCAAAAAAGTTGCATCTGGGCTGTTTATATTAGCATTACTTTACAAATATATTACTGAGACGGACATGTATCAAATAAAGTCTTTTTGAAGGAAGCCATTTTGACTTACCTGTTTCTGAATCAACAGACATGATAGTGGTAGGCAGGTGAGGCAACTCATCCAACAACCAGTCTGGTTCAGAATGCACCTTTGGGCGAAATAATGAATCAATACCGATACATTACGCACTTTCTCACATACAAAATTACTAGCAAAATACAGCTTTGAATAAAAAATGTACCTTAAGACTTTTCTCAAACTTTCATTCTGGTGACAAAAAATAGCATTTCTTTCGAAGAGAGTTTCAAATCCCTCCGAATATTTGCCTAAGTAAGCTGAGTTTAATCAAGCAATAAATCAGAGTTAAAGATCTTATCTTTATTTCAAATCATTATTTTAGATTCTATTCAAAATATTACCTCATGCAAATCTGCGTCTGATATGTCGCTGCTAGACTCTTTATCATTGGTTTCAAAAGAAGTGAGTTGGAGTCTAAAGAGAGGAAGGTTTTTGTGTTGTTGGCTTGTTTTTTAGGGGAGGGGGGTTGGGATGTGTGTGTGTGGGGGGGGGGGGGGGTAATAGTGTTTTAGGAGTTTAAAAAAGAACACGTCCTGTGTCGGATGGGAGGCTGAATCCCACTCAGCATGGGTTTTCACTCAAAAGCATGGTCAAAGCAGTCAGCCTCATAAATAACCTTCACTGTGTCGATGGAGGCGTGTAAAGCATTAATTTACAGCTTCAAATATGTGTACCTCTTCCAACAGTTCCTCCAGGGGGGCATTGTCCTGGTTGGGAGGTGGGTCTGCTGTCTGAAAAGGTTCTTCCACTTTGTTGTCCAGCGTCCAAACGCCTTCCAAGTAGCAGACGACAGGCTTGAAGTACTTGGTGTAGTCTCTGTGACTGGAGTTCTGCTGGGCAAATGCTCGGAACCACTCACGCATCTCAGCAATTTGGTCCTGTAGAAAAAAGAATATTAAACAAAATAAAAACCAACAACCAGCAAACAAACAAACAGAAATAGTACAATTTACGAAGCTCCTTAACTCTTTTGGGTGATAAAATGATTGAGTTCATGAGGAGAATTTCGATCAAAATAGCAGTCCTTTGCTACTGAAAACAGGTTTAAAGACAGACCGACAACAGGCAGACAGAGAAGGTACCCCGTCAGTAACACGCTCCAACGACCCATAACTTCCAGATTGTGATGCAGTAATTCTAAAAGAGCAGATCTTTTACATCTTCTTTCTCTGTTTCTAAACATTTTTGGCGTCGGTGGCCTAGTGGTTAGGCTCTCGGGCTCGCAACCGTAAGGTCATGGGTTCGAATCCCGTCAGGGACCCGACGTTGTGTCCTTGGGAAAGGCACTTTACACGAATTTTCCTCACTTCACCCAGGTGGAAATGGGTACACCCGCTATAGACAGCGAAAGATCTTGTCGGTTTGTTAGTGTTTGAGCGCTTAATCAGCTGCTTGCATTGTATGCTTCCCGGGAAGCTGAGAATGTTTCGGGGTGTTCTATGGTCTGCTGGGGTAATAATATAGTGTAAGGCGCATAGAGCCTGCTGTCGAGGGGGGATATGCGCTATACAAATGCTATCTATTATTATTATTATTATTATTATTATTATTATTATTATTATTATTATTATTATTATTATTATTATTATTTTTATTATTATTATTATTATTATTATTATTATTATTATTATTATTATTATTATTATTACACAAAAAGATTGGTCTCAGTCGATAATAGCTATAGTGACAACAATGATAATAAAAACAACTTTATCACCACCACCACTTTCATCACCTCCAGCAACAGCAATGTGACTTTGACACGATGGGCCGTTTTCCTTTAACTTGGGTTGGGGAGTGTTTAAGCCTCTCAACTTAATTGTCTTTGTCCTTTTGGATACTAACATTAACTCATTGGGGATGTGTTCTGTTCTTTCAACAACGCTTTAAAAGTCCTCCAATTGTCCTACCTCAACATTTTTATGAGCTGTGATCTCAGGTGGCACTCTGGGGAACTTGATATCCTGAACGTCACCAAAGTCACGTGATGTTTTAGAGGGCATTTGCAGACGATAGTCGTTGTGACCTGTCCTGAACTCTATGCCATCCATGACTGCCAACATCGGACCCATACCTCACAGATAAGAAAATAGACATCGCATTATTATACATTGAAAGATGGATCGTATTATCATTTGTTTCGCTTAAAAAAATATAAGTACACGCAGCATAGACGAGTACAGTATACCATAACATAGTACCGGGTGTCTAAAAAAAGAAAAAGCTATTTAAAGACAGAGATATCTTCGGACCATTTTCAACCAAACTAACTTTGAACAAACAAAATACGACAAGGAAGACATCACATTTGTCAATATGAAAATCATCGACTGATGTGTTCGAAAATGTTTAATTCCTCTTGTTTAAATTTGAGTTAACATTGAGTGAAACACAGGGTGTTGTATCTTTAAAAAATCAACCGTACTGTGTACTCGTGCATTGAAAATCAAATTTACATATAAAATTAAACTTGTTAAATTAATTTCGGGAAGATGATGGCTATTTGAACTGCTTGGTCAAAGTGTTGACCATTTTTCTCCAGACAAACTGTGGAAATTTTGAATGACTCTGTGGCAAGTATCTGGATCTCCTGTTTGACATTGAATTCTTAAAATGGGGAATGGGTGGGGGAGGGCATCAAAAGCAAGACAAATGTACATGCTTTGAGATGATACCAATAATTTCACGACCCCAACAGCTGACGAGCGCAGATCTGATTCCATCGCATCACGATACAAATAGTTTTCTCCTTTTCCCCCTTCTACTTTGCTCAGTGTATTTAACATCTTACTTTTCCTATACACCCTAAAAAGGGCACTCACCCAGCACCCTGTCTGTATGGGCGTGGTCGTGTATGTCGAAGGTGTTCCCAGAGATGTGAGTGTCCTCGTAATAGTCATACGTTCCTCTCGTTTTCAGTTTCCCCACCTTCATCCCGGAGTCACCCTCAGTCCTTGCCCTGTGGTCCACCAGGAGAGTTGGAAACTGTAAGACTGGTAGAGTCTATCACTTGATGGAGTATGGTATGTCATTGGGTTGTTGTTCTTTTTTCTGTTTTGTTTGTTTGTTGTTTGTTTTTCTGCTAAGAGGTGATATGTTTGAATGCTTAATCCACAATACTGTTTACATTGTTTGCTTTCTGGTATTATCTAAACATGTCATTTGGTGCTTTTTATACTGTATGGTATATATTACAACATGGTAAAGTAGGTGTTGTAGTATGGTATGGTGCGATACGGTACAGGATAGAATGATACGGCATAATAATTTGGCATGATGTGAAATCATACGATAACATATGATACGATACGGTATGGTACGTTATGGTCCAGTAAAGTATGATCTGGTTCAGTGTGGTATGGTATTGTATTTTATGGTATTACTTTGTATGATGGTGTGACAAAGCACTATGGTATGAAAGCACTATACGGTAGATTTTACCTTATTATGCTATGGTATAGCAAAGTGTTTTATGGTATGGTTTGGTATCGTGTGGTAGTGTACGGTTTTGTACGGTATGGTATCATATGTAATAATAATGTATTACATTTATGTTATCTTTCCTCCTCTTCTTCCTAATCACCTTTCTCTCGTTCTCCTCCTCCTCCTCCTCCTCCTCCTCC